AAGAAAAAAAAAAAAAAAAACCCTATTCAATGGCCATTCTTCAACACCTCCTCAAACAACCCATCTTCAGCGGCTAATATCCAGCCCGCAACGTTCGGTAGGCCAATTTTTTTTTTTTTTTTTTGGTTAAGAGAATGATTTTTTTTTTTAGATGAGTTAATGAAATTGATGAATGAAGAGACAAGTGAATGAAGAGAGAAGAGAGAAGAGAGGAGAGAGAAGAGAGAAGAGAAAGATGATTTTTTTTTTAAAAAAAAAATGATAGTAAGGGTATCTTTGTCTTTTTAGGTGCCACAATGGCTAAAAAAAAGAGGTTTTTTTTTAGAATGGTGACCAAAATTTGTGTTTTACAAATGTAAATGGCTAAAAAAAATTCACTGTAAAAAAAATGATAGTAAGGGTATCTTTATTTCTTAGGTGCCAAAATGGCTAAAAAAAGAAGTTTTTTTTTAGAAAGGTGGCCAAAATTTGTGTTTTACAAATATAAATGGCTATAAAAAAAAAAAAAAATCAATGTTTAAGATTTGGGTTAGGGTGGTGTTGTCTCCTTGTTTGAGAGTTTATTTTCGCCTTTTTTAAGTTGTGCTTTCCGCCTCTTAGCATAGCATATTAAGAAGTTGTTTGTCTCCGGCCGGCACGATGTCGTGTGCAATGAGGTTGTTTGAACCAATTGGTTCTCGAATATATTGAGTTTGAGTTATAATATGATATTTGGGAGTTGTTTGTCTCCTGCACGATGTCGTGTGCAAGGAGTTGTCGAACGTTGTGTCAGAGTGAGGAAACTAGCCAAAGAAAATCTGCATCCGGGTTTCATAACACGTCATTTGAGCCAGGTAGTTTCTGAAGAGTTTTATTTGGTGTTTGATATTGTGCTTTTCACCCTATTGTCAAAGTTTGGTTGGTTTACAGTGCTTTAACCCCGTTGACAGGTACTTTTGGAGAGGATTTTGTGACAAGGTTGAGATCTAAGAAGAGGATCTTCGAGTAAAGGGGCGGCGTTAGTTATAGAAGGATCGCCAACGCCTGTTGAGTTAACTGTGGGATCGCCGACAAGGTCAATCCTACGAAAGAGTGGTCTGAAGTGCAGTCGCCTGAGTCGTCTCAGAGATCGACAAGGAGATTGAAGCGACAGAGGGAGGGGTCTCCCAATCGCGGTCGTCTCAGTGTCCTCCCTAGAAAAATTGGGGAATGTGATTGTACAAAAATCACCTGCTGGCCCGAGTATCATAATCAGCAGTTGCAGATAATTTTCATTTTATTTTATACTTTTTGTGCTCATATCAACAGGAACTTTATTTTTGCTGAAATGTAGTTGCATAAACCAATAGAAAATCAGACAATTGTTAATCAGGGAATGGCAGTAAGATACACAATGCGGATGCCGAAATAGAATATAGAAGGCCAGAAATAATACTGATGATAGAAATCACCATGATGATAGAAAAGAGAGATTAAAGCAGAAAAACAGGAGTTCGATTCATATACTAATTTAATAGTTAATATAGTACCAATAATTTGCTAGCTAGATAAGTTCCATCTTCATGTTCAGGCTTGGAATCTCCAAGAACACGAGACGATCAGCTCCCAGCTCGTGTAAAGACCGCTTCTTGGCTTTATAGGCTGAAACTAGAATATGAGTATTGTAAGAAAAAAGAAGAGGGTTTTAGATAGTAAATTTTATGGTCATCCCCCCATGTTGTACCCATCTTGCTGCAAATAAGGATTATAGCTCCCTGGCACTTCCATCTTTCCCATGAACTGGTCCATTCCTGCATTTAGAATTTCAAGCGTTTAAAAGTAAGAGGACATAAAAAATTAAATTTTTCGGGGTAAAAAAAAAAAAAGAAAGTAGTTGCTATGCTTGTAATATTCACTCCAACGATACATAAATGCTTCTAATGCATTCCTATTATCCTGAAGAAGCTGTAAACCGGTGAAGCGCAAAACACAGAAATTATTCATCCTTGGGAGAATAAAAGAGCAGCAAAAGCTCCCCGAAAGATCATTTTTCGTAAATCGGAAAGATGAACACTGATAAGGGATATTCAAACCTTCCACAATCAGATATAAAGGGGGCAAAAAGAATCAAAGTACTCACTCGTATTAGACAGCATACCCCCATAGAACGGCATCTGGCTCATGGCCCCCCCGAACTTGGAGCTGCCCTCCTGAGGCAGGGGAGGAGGGTCATGCTTACCCGCATGCATGTCCACGGGCTGGGCCCGTGGGCTTTGGAAGCAGAGCTCCTGATCGGGCCTTGCGGCCAGTAAGTGCTGCTGCTGGGGCTGGAACTCGTCCTCGGGTGGCAGCCTGGTTTTCTTGTCGTTAGGGGACTCGACCTCAGTCTCAACCTCGGAGTCGTTTGCGTTGGTGGATGGGGCGACCTGCTGCTTTCGTTTGGAGCGGGCCCGCCTGTTCTGGAACCAGTTGTAGACATTGGTTTCGGATATCTGGCCATGCTGGGACAGCTCGGCCGTGATCTCTTTAATCTTCTGCTTGCTCGGGGTCCCGATCCCCTGGTCGAACATCCGCTCCAGAATCTGGAGCTGCAATGGAGTTGGGGTCCACCGCTGCCGCCCACTGATCTTGTGGGCCCCGCTGGCTATCAACGGGTCGCAGTATAGGTTCCCGAGCCTCACTCCTGAGTGTGGGAAGGCAGAGTTCATTTTTAACATCAGAAACAAAAGAGGGAACTTATTTCTTGATTTTGTAACAAAATACTTATGATATAAAAGAAGACTACAAGAAGAAGAAATGGAAGCTAAATTATTATTTAAGATCATTTACATCACACAGTTATGGGGAAATGAGAGCGTTCGGGGAAACTACTATTTTGAACTTAGCTTGAAAACAGGCAAACTTGAAGTCGGTAGTGTTTACAAATGGAAGCTGGAAATTGATTGAGTTGAGAGAGTTTGCCAAAGAAGTTAAAGTGCTGAATAACAAAGCGGAAGAACTCAGGTGCGGGGGGTTCTTTCTAAATTGAGCAAACATTCAAAATGAGCAAAATAATAGTGATCTGCTTGACAAGAAGCATAACTCCCGTCGACTGGAGAGCACGATTTTTAAGCACACGAGCTTCTTAGTTTCTCTAGGGAAGTAGGACGAATGAAAGCCTAGTGTAATGGGGATGCAATAAGCAAAAGACAGATGAAACTAAGGGCCGCCTAAGAATTCAAGCACAGTTGCCAATATATTCATTTGATAACACAACAGGGACATTTGAAATTCTTTCAAGATCTGGATTTTAGTAATTTGGTATTCTCAGACTCATTATCATTAATATCCAACAAGTAAATGTACGGGAAATGCTACAGTCCCGTTACGTGACCATTCCGTCGGGGTTTACAAATCCCGACGGAATGGTCACGTAACGGGACTGTAGAATCTCCCATAAATAAAATGACAAACAGAAATGATATTTCAAGACAACCTACTCAAGCAATTATTGTCGCTCATAATTACCAGAGATTTAGGAGCACAGCAAAAGAAAAATCAAGTAGCTAACCTTATTAATTGCACAATCAATTAACCGCAGATAATTCTAACTGGAAGAACATAAACCACTCATCAAACAAAGACAGAAAATTATTAAAAATACAATTAATAATTGCAGAGCAAAATCAGCACATTACACCTGCGAAAAGCACGATCATAAAGAAATTTACGCAGCACGCCTTCGTTTTTCGTCTACTATTAAAAGATTAAAAAGTTTAAGATTCTAAAAGCGGGCACAAAATCCATACCGGTAAGATCGTTCTGGGAGGTGAGGGATTTGTGCAGCTCGACGAGCTTCTCGCAAATGGTGGCGTAAATCGCTATCTGCTTCCGGAGAACCTCCATTTGCTCGTCGGTCATAACCTTCACAAACACCCCGCTCCCCCCGCCGCCGCCGCCGCCGCCGCCGACGCTCGCCTCTTCCGTTGTCCGAGGCGGCTGCTTTTCCCACTCCATCATTCCACAATTTTTTTTTAATTTTTTTTTTTCTCAGAAAAAAATTCTCACTCTCAAACTTTGTTGGTAAAGAGTAAGACAACAGGAATAAAGGTAACGACGAAGCAAAGCAATGGAGTCAAGGCCGTAAAAATGGTGGTGTCTCTGTGAAACGCAGTAGTGTGTGTGTGTGTGTGTGTTAATATTTTCTTTTATTTATTTTTGCGTGGAAAACGACAAAAGGGGGTTTTGGAGGATAATATAGTAAATGCCAAAATATTACTTAATTACCCTTTTTTCCATTCCCCGCAATTAGCGCTGTGGGCCCCAATAGGAATCAAAAGAATTTCGGTCCAAAGGTAGAAGAAAAAAACACTATCCTTTGTTACGTCATTTTAATAATAGTAAAGTCATAGTACATTGTTTTTATTTTTTGGGATCTTAAATGCTATTTGGAATTGGAAGATTTCCTTTTTGTGATGCCCATATTCGAAAATAAGGTTTTAGTATTTTTTTTTAAGACTAGTTAATTTGACATTAGATGTGAAGTATCTCTAACTTTGTCTATATATATATATATATATATATATATATATATATATATATAACTAGTGTGCTACCTGTGCGATGCATGAGCTAGTTTTATTAAAATAAACATTTAGATTTGGATGATTAGACGATTGAAAGAACGTATAACGCATGTATTGAAATAAAACAAAATGTAACTTATATATTATTAAACACATCCTTGTACACAACATTATTTGTTTGATATTTTGGTACATCATCTATCGCCACAAATTAGAATTTTTAAACCCTTAAGATTTGTAGCGCGTGAAACAGCTACATAAAACTGGTCGACAGGTTATATAATCAAATGTAAATACAAATTAATTGTGCTATGTGTTGTTTTATCTATGTCCATGTGCATTTTGGCTAAATCTGACGGTAACGGCACCGCCCCCGAGTGCCGAAGGAAATTAAAAGACTTAAGGTTGAAGCTCCACCGGCAGAAAACAATCTACCTCTGTGTAAACCGTATCTAAGAAAATAAACACTTGAAACCTATATATATTAGGATTCTAGATAGACTTAAATAAATCAATTAAATTATTTAGCAGGATATATATGATATGATTATATTGGTTTCATGAAGATTGCATAGCCAAATATAACATAGATTGTAACATGTCTTTCTTAATAATTTATAGTTTTATTATTTTAAGATTGTAAAATACTTAATTTAAGGAAGAAAAAAAAAATGTGTACATGTATGCAATCAATTTCAAATTTGTATTTCAGAATATTAAACAAAACCCAAATTTTTAGGATGTTCCAATTCGATTTCATTTTGAATTTTAAATTAATGTTATCTGACTCTGTCTTATATTTAAAAAAAAAATCTGAACTAAAGAAAGTAGTAGCCAAGTAATAAGAGATATATAAATTTTATTTTTCAATTTGAAATTAGACCAAATTTCTATGCAATTCGATTTTTTTTTTTAATAAACATGATCTGATATGTTGCAATTAGGTAAATATACATGTTATAGTATTTTTTCTAATTCGAAATTCCCGATTTTATGATAAACATGTTTTTTAAAATAAAAAATGAGAGAATTTTGACTTTTACAAAATTCTCATGCCGAATTTTACCAAAATTAACCTGATTTATATGCAATTCGATATTTTTATATAAATAATTGATTTGTTTAGTTAGGGAAAGATATATGTGATAGTATTTTTTCTAATTCAAAACTCTCGATTTTATGGTAATTAGTTTTTTTTTAATAAAAAATGAAAAAAGAATTTTGACTTTTGAAAAATTAGAAAAAAAGATATAATTTTGACTTTTGCAAAATTGTAAGAATCAGTCGAAATTTATCTAAATTAAATCCACAAAACCCAAGAATTTAGAGTGCATATATAGCTGATCGATTTTTTGGGAATAATATAAAAAAGAAAATTAAAAAACTGCCAAAAATAGAATGTAATAAATGCTGGTTGACTTTTTTTGCTACTATTTTTGATAAATAGATTCTTATATATAATATATATATATATATATATATATATATATATACCATTTAATCTATATTTGATTTTATTTTTAATTCTTGATTTGAAATCATATATTACCAAGTATAATCCGACAAATTCAATTTAATAAAAATTTGGTTTTTACTTTTGACTTTTATTTTATGTTATGAAAAGGTATAAATGAATTATACAATAATATTAGATTACAAACAAAGTACAAAATTAGTTAAATGACAAATAAAAATGCAAAATGTGCACTCTGATAAAAATAACTCATAAGCAACTTAGCAATCTAAAACTTCGTGAACTCAACTTGACAACTTCATCATATTTCTTAAAATTCAAATCAAGTCTTAAACAAGTGACCAAATCATAAGTATCATCAAACCATAAAGCATGTCATCAACAAAAATAATCCCAAAGTATGAAGTACGAAACATCCATGAACAATTAAGTCTATAAAATCCCAAGTCATCATCAAACATCTAAGAGATCATAATAAAATCAAATAATGACATATATGACCACCACGCACCTCCCCGTGATTGACGCCACTCATCATCCTGAAATTTATAAAATGAGGGGTGAGCATCAACAGCTCAGTGGGAATATAGAATAACGCATTTATTCAATCTAATATATAGATATAACAATTATCATATACTTATGTTACCACATTTGTCGGAAGCCCTGTTACCACATTTGCTCGAAATCTCGTTACCACACTCGCCCGAAGGCCTGTTCCCACATTTGCTTGAACGCCCATTACCACATTTACTCGAAGGATATGTAATTCGTAAATTATGCAAAATATTTCGACGATATGCGATTTGTGATATGGATCGACAAAAAAATGGCGAATAGTCCTAAATTATGCAACTTTCGATTTGAATATGCAAACATACTAGGCACAATCAATCACTATACGACTTTATATATTTGAATATGCGAGTCGTAAATCATGCGAAACAATGATGCATAATCATAAAATATGCGACGTTCAATTTGGATAGGCGAAACTTTCTCGCATAGTAAATTATGCAGTGAATTTTGATATGTGATTACATAATATGCGAGTGCGTTTCGCATAATTATTAACTATGCGTCGGAATTGAATATGAGAGTTGTAAACTATACGAAAACATGTCGCAAAATCGTAAAATATGTGGCGATCAATTTGGATATCTTATAACTATATATGCAAAGTAAGTTTGCATATCTAAATTATGCGCTGGATTTGTATATGCTATTACAACATATGTGGAAGTGTTTCACATAATTATTAACTATGCGTCCGATTTTATATGTGTCCGATTTTATATATATATGCGACAACATATCGTACAATTATTAATTATGCGTCCGATTTGGATATGCGAGTTGTAATAATGCGAAAACATGTCGCATATTCGTAACATATGCGGAGATTAATTTGGATATCTGATAACTATATATGCAAAAGAAACTCACATATCGTAAATTATGCGGTGGGTTTGGATATGCGGTTACAACATATGCGAAAGTGTTTCACATAATTATTAAATATGCGTCCGATTTGTATGTATGTTGGGATATATATACGACAAAATCTCGCATAATTATTAATTATACGGTTAATTTAGATATACAATTTTAATATCACATATCATTTCACGTCTTATGGGATGAAAAAGAAGTGTTTTAATAAGACAATGTGTAAAAAAACGTATATAATAGGATGTAAAAGATGTCATTACAACAATGGGTCTGTCCGTTGCAAATAAATGGACAATTGTTATAAATTGAACTGAACGCTGCACAGGGAGGGAACATGGTGCAGACCCTAGTAAGATATTGTCCGCTTTGGGCTACTTCCGCCACCCGCACGGCTTTGTTCTTGGCTGGGCTTTAATACACACCCACCAAAACGGGTCTTACTAGTGAAGGTATCCACATCTTCATATAAGGCCTGCTTCGTTCCCTTTCAAACTCGATGTGGGATGCGCTGCATCATCCACCCCCCTTGTGGGCCCAGCGGTCACCGCTGGCACATGGGCTGGCTCTGATACCAACTGGTGCAGACCCTAGTAAGATATTGTCCGCTTTGGCTACTTCCGCCACCCGCACGGCTTTGTTCTTGGCTGGGCTTCAATACACACCCACCAAAACGCGTCTTACTAGTGAAGGTATCCACATCCTCATATAAGGCCTGCTTCGTTCCCTTTCAAACCCGATGTGGGATGCGCTGCATCAGAACATGAACCGACTAAATGGAGCGCATAACCATTATTGTCACAAAAATTACAGAGTTGAAAGTCGATACACCTTTTGCACATACCAACATTTACGACGAATGACAATATGTTGATACTCTTGGGCAGAATATAATATAATATACTGTTATTTTATGACTGGATAAAGATATATATGTAGTACATGTAAATCAATGAAAAAAGGAAAATATATAATACAACTCAAAATTTCATATACATACTACAAAAAATTAACCATTGAATATTTTGAGCTACAACTCTGGCCAAAGCTGTCACAGATATAGCTCCCTTCAAGCTCATGCATGCTCATTATCTAGGTGGGTGCAGACGAGGCCGGTTACAGAAAGTCCGCCCCTTAGATTTCACGAGAGACGCTATCGCCAAACTCACACACGTCCACATGATTGAAAATAATAAATTCCACGGGTCACGTCGAGCTGCAAAACATTAACAATTAGCTTTTTTTCTGTATACGAAGCATGTCGAAATTAAATCAGTGAAAATGACCAATTTCACAATGGCACGGTCATTTAGGCCTATGAGATAACATATAAACTTGAAACCTACGAACTTTGCAGCCACTTCTTATACTTGCATGGGCTCAAACCTCTCTCAGGGGACATGATTTAAGATTTTGAGACATTTGGTGTGAGAAGCAGAGGGGAAACGCACACAAATGTTAGAAAGTAGAAGAGAATAGTTGGTAAATCTGAACTCTTTAAGTGTTTTACAGTCAAAACTTAGGTGAAACTCAAAGCATAATGTTAGTAGAGCAAAAATTACAGTACAACAAATAAGTGGCTGTTAATTAACTTAAGTGCATTCTAACCTCGCCTTAGTGAAATTGCTGCAAAAAAGAACCCAACCGTAACCAGCAAAAGGGCCAGTTGAATGGACTGCACAAACAAAAAAAGTCAATATAACTCTCGCATATAAAAGTATCATACATAAACTTCAGCGCAGAAATATCGTGATGTTTGAGAGGAGCTTCAAGGTTGATTTTCCGAGGACAGGCAAGGATAAGGAGTTGTTTTGAAGTTTAGTTACAAAGCCAATATTCCCAGTAGATTCATATTTTTACAGGTCATGTGAAGTGGGAATTCAGATACTGAAAAACTGGATGAACCAGCTAACAAGATTAGGTAGATAAGTCTTCTCTAAGTACATCTGTTTAAAACAAATCAAAAGGAACATTAATTTAGCACTATTTAAAATATATCTTCCAAATTATTTCATACATGTAAGATAAATAATTAATATTTATAAAAATTATATTTCTCTCTCTCTCTCTCTCTCTCTCTCTCTCTCTCTCTCTCTCTCTCTCTCTATCTATCTCTATCTCTCTCTCTCACCCCTCTCTCTTTCTCTCATGTGCAAGTTTTCGCTTAACTACACAGTAAACAGAGTGGAACAATCTACTTAAGGATGCCAAATGATGGAAAAATGACAAAATGCTCTACTACAAAGTACAAAACAAAGAAATCTGGTAACCACAGAATTACTCACAGCTATGGCCTCAATTCCGTCTTCCTTTTTTGTATTAAGCATACTTCGGGAGACGGATACGATATAGTGTCCTTGTAATAAATCAATTGCATCCTTCAGGAAAGGAAGAATAATAATATTAGGATTTCAGCTTCATGAATAATAATTTTTATGTTAGAGAGACATGATGGCACACGAGGACCCAAAATTAACTGTTGTGACATCAACGATAGATTCTGAAGGTCCAAATCAATCAACAGATTGAAGATTGCAAGAATGCTAAAAGAATAAATGTTAAATTGTGAATTAACCAGCAAAGTTATCTGGCGTAAGTTTATGCTAATCAAAAGAATTGCAAAACAAAGAAACAATGAGACACCAACAATTGGAATAAGTCAAGGTAATAAGGTTGAACAGGTTCATGATTTCATCCAATTTCTAGCCTTATTACTAACCTGCTTTGTACCATCACGGAAATTGTTTAAGTAGTACCGCAAAAGAGAACTCCGGCCATCTTTAAGCATTCCTAGAACTGTCCTCTGGCCAATTCTGATATTAAACAAGAAAACAATTCCAAATATAAAGAGTTACTTAATATACTTATCTTTGTATTGGAGAAAATTCATGATTTGCTGAATCAATAGAGAAATGAGATGGGTCCCATACAACAAAGAGAAAAAAATCAAGAATCGATGGGAATGTCTTAATTATTACGAAAAGGTTCTGCTGCATGTATGTACATGAAAAATTGAATTGCTTCTTACCTGACAAAATCTCCTTTTAATGCAGGAGTACCAGTGTACTGGATGCTAATGTCATCACCATGGTTAGCCCACACTAGAAAAGGAATAGAGATGTTAGATATATATGATATGAATCAGCCCATGAAAATTATATGAAGTTACACACCAAAACTCCAGCAAAATGTATAATTTTGACAAGAGAAAAAACATACTGACAATTTTTAAAGCTTTGATCCAATTTGGGATGTCTTCTGATAGTTTCGTCAGTGTTGAATACACCAAGCCTTCGAAGTTGTGATTCCAACATTTTACGAGCAATCATGCTCTGCGATGTAGGGGGAAAAAGTATAAAATGGTAAAACATTTTTCCTCAAGCTCAGGAAATTTTATATATTCCATATCGATCTGGTGAAATAAAACCTTAATATACCACCATAGTACATCTCGCTGATTAACAAAAACCCACATTATACTTTATTCAGTTCATGTCCAGCTGATTAACTTAACAAGAAATCATGGTACCACAATTTTGTATTTCTACTTTAGCAATCCAAGGCAAAAGTATATCCAGGAAAAGTGCAATAAAAGAAATATGTTTTACAAGGAGACCAAGAGAAACAAGTAAAACAAATTGATAATCTTAGTTTATCAGAGGATTGTAGAGTAAATGTTCCTAATTCCATCTTTTTAACTAAATTATTATGTTTTAAGGCAAATAACAAACTGGAATTAAGCTATCACTACAAACAAATGCACTTGGACGGATTGAAAGCTGCTTAAGCCATTTTCTAAACTGCAGACGCTAATAAAGGAAAACTGAATTATATTCCATAGTTGGATATTTGAGAGAAAACCATTGCGAAGAGCAGAATGGGCCCCAACCTCAAAGGTTCAATTTGTAAGAGATTATTAATTTAAGTTGTTATTAATCTTTTAGTACAACAATAAGATCTCTGGTGATGGTTTCATATCCTACATTTGCAACTGACTGATTCAATACCCAACTGTCAATCTTTCGGAGGATGGAAAGCCAATCAACCAGAGAAGAGGGAAACCCACCCAAATGAATATAATTGGTCAAGTTTCGGAGGTTTGCTTTGGGCATATTTGTTGTTCTTGGAACAGATATATATGTAATTTCAAGTTCCTACATATTCTTACAACTGAAATTTCATTAATAATAATTAACCAGAAGTAATAATTTGTTCAAGCCCTATTCATCTGCATGGTCTATTAATTGAGTCCAATGAGGAATAAAGTTCTGTTCCAAATAACTTAGATATCATGAGCAATGTCAGTTATTCTCTAGAAGACTATACTAAACTTCGAAAATGAACTTATTTCAACACAAAGGGGCAAAAGTAAACAACATTAATACTAATAACAAGTAGAAAAATAATACCTGGGTAACATTAGTACGGTCCAAGCAGTCAATACAATTGGTTCTTACCACTCCAACTTGCCTCTCAATTTTCTCCCCCTTATCATTTAATAAAAGGCATCTGAAAATTCCCAACAATGTAGTAAAATACAAAAGACAACACAAGTAACTGAAATGTCTTGATTTGAAAACAACACAAAAATCTTGGTTTGATCAGCAAAGCAAAACGTTGAGATTAAAATTCTTTCAATAAAATTAACCACAGGTAAGGTTAGGAATTGAGAAATTACACGAGTGAATAACATCATAGCCTTAGTTCAATTTATCCGATCATCTCAAATTGTGCCTCTAAGTGCAACAACCAAATAGATCTTTTACTAAACGTTTTCACCGTCATCGTTATTATTACTAGTTATTATTACTAAATGATCATGTGATGTGATCATTTTATGGAATTTATGGGAAAAGCTGCCACCTGATACTAGACAAATCAATTCGAGTATTCTTGAAAATTGTATACCAGGTTTTCCAATGACTAAATATCAGTTGCCTATAATATGTACATTATTATGTATATTATTATAAATGTAAAGAAACTGAGTTAAGTTTCATGAAAATAAACTAATAGTCGGAAAAATCTTACATTCGATGAAACTGAGTTTAAGTTTCATGAAAATAAACTAATAGTCGGAAAAAACTTACAATTGTGACACCAAAGGAAATAACAATAACGCATAACAAGACATCTCTAGCAAAGTTACCTGTTTTTTAACATATAAGTCTCAATTCGATGATAAAGAATGGAAATCCACTCAATATCATTATCCCCACATATCCGATGAAAGTCAAAGTGCATATATCTGGACAAAAAAAAAAAAAAATAGCATATAGATGAATGGTGAAATATAAATGAAGTAAAATAAGTAAGGAAAACGAGTGTGAGATTTCCCATTCAGGAAACACACCTCAATTAGGTTGCCCAAGTCATAATAAATGCTCTCAAATACTTAAGTGAATAATATAGTCTTACTGCTTATTAGATCCCAAATCATCAGGTGATGTACCAATTAGATTTTTGTTGATGCTGACTTGCACATTCTTCGAAGTTATTAAAATGATGACATATTGAACTCCTATAACTATAATCCATTAGCTTTCAAGATGAGAAAAGCCACTGTTAACGACAAACTTGTTATTTATAGATTTTTTGGTGGATCCTCACTTACACATTCTTCAAAAATTTTAGAATGATGAAATATTCTCGTTAACTTATTCACGCAGCTTTCAAGATGAGAAACTATTGTTAACGAAAAACATGGTTGTATGTTATTACTTTTGTTAAAAGGCGTATGAAACTCCAGTCGTCATGGTTGTTCTACAACATAGCCGTTCTACATATGGGGACCACCCTGCTTAAGAGTATCCATAGTGCACTTCTAGTGCAACACCAGCCCAGAATTATGGTATTTGCCTGTAAATTGACCAAATGAAAGGAAACCCACCTCACATCATCTCTGGCAAGACTTTGTATTGCTCTGCCAAACTTTCCACATAGATCTCCCTCACCTCCATGCTAAAAGATGTTGAGTAAAAAAAAAAAAAAAAAAATCAACATACACATTAAAGATATTAACAACTCAAAAATGGTAAGAAAGATCATCTCTCTGGGTGTGTGCATGAGACAATTTTTAAATGTCAACTGAACTTTCAGTATTAGAGAATTAAAAATTTTTTCTTGGATGCAACTCAAATTTGTGATGCCTCATCTAATTCTTTCCAATTCTTCTTATTATTTATATTATGAATTGATCGCCCTTTCCTTTATATGATCGGTAGATTCAAACTTAGTTTACAGATTGTTTACGTGAACTGATGGCTGCAGTAGCAAAGCAACCACAAGAATAAAGTAGTCAAAAGTTGCTGATGGCAGTTGAAGGAAATATAAAATAGCTTAAATGATTTCGGTGTTCTGTAAGGAAAGCTATGAGAGCAACATGAAAATGTGTTGTGGTAAATATTTACGTACCTTGTTGACAAGATTAACAATCTGGACATTTCCATATTTCTTTCTTAGATCACAAAAGTGCCGCTCAACTACTTGAGACTGAAAAGAGGAACAAAAGAATAGCCAAAAACAGCATAACTGAACATGTTATTTGTATGTGCAATACAATTTTGGTTAGATTAATTGAACTACTCACGACTTCCGCAACTTCAATAATATTAAACTTGGGTTTATATGTAATATCCACAATCTGATCCCACAGTAATGGAATTGACCCTCGAACCTATACGATATTATTGAGAAAAATATTAATGTTAATTTGTTGATAATAACACTTGAAAAGGATGAGAAGTACAATTTAAATCTTGTAAATGTCCTAGAATGAAACTCTATCATTCATTGTACAAAAACAGTCCAGACTTATGCTCAAAGACTAAAGTTGATAATTTATTTCATACTTTGCTGAGCTTACCTGAACAAAAGATGCAGTATGCCCATTCACCTGTATGATTTGTTCTGTTTCAACAAAGTTTGCTACAAAACCATCAGAATCAGCTCCTCTTCTCCACATACGAGTGCCTTCACAAAGTTTCAGATTAAGAACCGACTGAATAGAAAGATCAATACAGAAAGTACAGCATCATCCACACTCAAATAGTAATCACCTCCTCACTGTAAACTGAATAATGCAATTCATGCTCATTAATACTTAAGTTAGTCCAATTGTTATTTTCTAGAAAATACATCTCAGGTCAAGCAAGGCTGAGATGATAAAGTTCGATTCAATTAAGTTTTTATCATAAGCCAAAAATGAGCTTAAACAGTTTGCTTTACAGTTTACACAGTTAAGTATTTTTTTGGTAATTATTGCAATTTGTCAGACAAGCACGATCAGCAATCCAGCATACAGAAACAGTGAAACACAGACGCACACACACACACACACACACACACACACACACACACACACACAC